ATTGCACATTACCAACACGTTTACATCTTTGAAAGGAACAAGATCCTTGAGATATTTGGGGCGGGCTCAAGGAAATAACACCGAGATATACACCACCAACCAACCTTAGTAAACAATGTTCAATGCATCAATTCATGCAGCAAATATCTGCTGCTTCTTTTATATTTCATCAGCGTTGTGAAACCGCAGAGGAAACAGTTTGAGCAGACCAAAACAGATGCTATTATTTATTATTTAACCGTTTCCAAGCCCCAATCTCCCCTTCCCTGATTCAATGACAAACCTAGCGATAAACAAACCCATAAAGATACACATGTACATTGTTGTACGTGTATTTCTCTTTTCATGAAAGAATACAAGTTTTGAAAAGAACAAAAGCCAGAGAATCGAAAACATCACATATTGGCCACCAGCCCCAATCTCCCCTTCCCTGACTCAATGACAAACCTAGTCACAAACAACCCCATAAAGATATAAATGTGCGTGCAATTCTCTTTTCATGCAAGAATACAGGATTTGAAAGAACAAAAGCCAGAGAATCGAAAAACATCATAAAATTGGCCACCAGCCCAGAGAACAAAGGCGATTCCTATGTACAGTACAGATGTATACTTTGCACCTATTGTTCAAAAGGAGCTGACAATCAATGGTGTTTTTATCGTTGGAGGGGCACTCGAAGAAAGAAAATGACAATCATATCGCAAAGTCGTGCAAGTTCGGGGGGGGGGGGGGGGTTGGCAGAAGGAGAGGGGTATTGTTGGGATGTTTGTTCCGCATCTTCGTGTGTTCTGAGAACGGTTGTTTTCAAACCAGGGACCAGGGTAGGCCAACTTTACAGTGAGCGCGTGTACCCAGGTGCCAGGGTCGCGAGGAGTTGTTTTCGAAGTAAATTAATCAGGTCTATTGGGCAGCGAACGCATGACCTGTTCATAGCAAACCAAGCAAGAAATGGCGGCAAAGTATTATTGTTTATTACTATCAAACTTCCCACGAGAAACTAAACATGGAGATTGTATATATTGATGGTTCTGGCCCCCTGAATAACCCTACAATGTAGAAGGGCCAGTACTGGGAAAAAAATATTTAAAAAATTCTGGGGCTACTTTTCAACGTTGCTTGCATGAAAATAACATTCCAAAATTTGTGTTGCATTGAATTCTATGCAAATTTAAGGGGGCTCTTTTTCGCCGGCTATTTCGCCCTGAGCCCCCATTTATTTTTTTCACTGGGCCAGTACATTATCATTTGAGAGGCAGGTGGGGTAAACTAAAGTCCTGTGCATGTACATAACAAATTATGAGTTGATGTGTTTATGCCTCTCTGCATATTCTTCTTTAAGTTCTTTCCATTATGTATTCACTCACTATTTTACTATGAACAGGTTTAATAGTATCCTTCTTATTTTGAGCTGAATTAAGACAAGCCCTAATGAACACATAGATTAAATGATTTTGCATGATCACAAATACACTGTACAAATTCTAAAAACATGACAAACATAAATTTGCTTATTATGCACTTGATTTAAGAAATGGATGTCTGAAAATACATTTCCCACGGGAAATATACAGACGAGGCATTTTTGCTGCAAATGTCTTCTCTACAGATTCATAAACAACCTTTTCAGTTTTGAAACAGATAATACATTTGACAAACACTCCCTTTTGATGCGCAATTTCCCACAATTTAAAAAAGATTGTATACGAGACGTGATTCAGTGAGGTTATTTTATTGGTTGCTTGTATTTTTGGCCACAAATCCAGAGATAAATTCCTCCTTAATCTCTGACAATAAGGCTATTAATAATATTCAATTATGAATGAGTCAGACATTTGTTACATTTGAAGGAAGTTTTCTCTAAATAAGTTCATTCAGACTACTCTACATCTAACTAAGGTATGAACTCTTGGTCATAATTTGTAAACAACTTTTGTTGAAATTTTGGTACTATTTCAGGGCCAATTTAACTTATAGAAGTAGTGTTTGCACTTTGCAGCCAAATACTTTGCATTCATAATGATAGAAAGATGACACAAAAAGTGATTTTAGGAGAAGAAAAAAAATCAGATTCACGCAGGTATCGTGGGAAAATCAAATCGGAACTCAAAACAGAGTTCACGGCTTCACGCCAAATATAATAGTCATAAAAGGTGAGTGTCAACATGTTTTTGAAAACATGTTTTTCTATTAATCTACTTCCAGTATTCCTTTCATTTTTTCTAATTCATATTCGGAAGCATCAAAGATTTTTTTCAGTTGAATGTGTCAATTAATTCTGTTTAACTACCGGTTTAGACAGAAATCAGACATTCCAAGGTTGATTCCCTTTGTCTTCAAATTCACTAAGTTCGTTCCAATGTCAAGGGTAATTACATATTTACATTACATAATTAATGTTCAAAATCAAATACACCGATCACATAATACTTGCGGTTTTATTTAACATTCTTAATTTTGTAAACATGTTTATCACAAGTTATGGAAAATTATCCAGACCGTGAGAAATATTAATCCAGTATTTCACATTTTTTAACTTCACAAAATTCTTTTCTTTTTCTTTTAATTCTATTTTCTTCTATTAAGCAGATTTTTAAAAACTTCTACATATTTTAAGCCACTTCGACTGTCAACAGGTGATGCTATCAATCTGACTCAACGAAATTGTATTCAGTACATTTTAAACTTTAACATGTACATGTTTGTAATGTAGTGAACAACTGAATTATTATATACGTCTTGTAAATTTGATATTTTTGTGATAAATTTGTAACTCAAGAATGAAAGATGGTCTAGCTGAATTAGGGCTTTAATTGTTGAAGACTTCTGGCTGTAAGCTTCAATATTTCTCATTCTCATACAACAAAAATCAGGGCAAATCAATTTTCCACTGTTAATGTGTAATATGAAAATTTGTTCATATCCATCTCCAGACAACATCAACCCATGTTCACTTTTTACAAGAGGGAAAAGCTTTTGTTCAAAATATGCAACATCAAAATCTGGAAATCGAGTATAGTTATCTAACAAAATTAACATCATTGTGCATTAAAGCAAAACTCTGATTAAATTAAATACAAATGTTTAAAATACAGTGCACCTAAAAGGTAATAGCATCACAAAATAAAAGTGGTGCAAGTTTACCTCTCATGCATGCAAAAGAAATATTTGTCAGGATTATTGAAATAATCCCTCAGCAAACTTCCTGAGGTAAACACTTCCAAATGGAAAGAAAAAAAGAAAAGAAAACCATTGAGTTTCAATCTCCCTGACTGTTTTCAAGTTAGCTTCCTAACCTAATTGTACTTGGCACCGTTAGAGAGTTATTTTGATGGGTATGAAACTCCCCGCTCATTTAGAGGACATCAACTCTCGCAGCCTGATTATTTTACCGCATGCTCCGGTCGGGCTCTTTTGAACTCTGGATTACGGTGAGAAGAGACATTTAAATAAACTATAAAGGAGAGGAATTCGCACTTCCACTTGAACGTGCAAGAATCTTATATCATTTTATATCACTATTTAATGTTTTAGGATCACATTACAGTGGTTGTAATGAAATTAGTGAAATTTGAGAAAGATGTTGTTGGTGCACAAAATAATTTTAAAACAAAACTCCAAAATGAAGACTTGATGACAACCCAAAATATACCACTTGAGTTTGCACATTTGTACACTTGATGTGTACATTAAAATAAGTACCGGTACTGTAATCTCTTAAAAAAAGAGTGAATTTTCAATCTATTTTCACTTTCTTGGGAGTGACGTCCGTGATCACTTGTTTAGGAGTGAATATCGATTGATTTTAGAGTGCTCTCTAAGAAGAAAAGAGTGAATGTTCACTCTATTTTCACATTTTCACTCTCCAGAGGAGTGACGTCCGTGATCCGTGATTTTTTTTAGAGAATAGGAATCTAGAATGATTGTACAATCATTCTAGATTCCTACAGTACTTATCCTTAATGTCTTACGATCACATAACTGTAGGTTGTAACGAAATTGCTGATAAAATGTTGGTGCACAAAATAATTTCAAAAATCCAACATGAAGACTTGATGACAAACCCCAAATATACCACTTGAGTTTTCACCTTCACTTGAAGTGAACATTTACAAAAGTACTTTAGGAATCAAGAATTATTTTAAACCAGTCTTTAATGTTTAATGATCAAATAACTGTAGGTAGTAATGAAATAAGTGAAATCGGAGAAAGATGTTGGTTCACAACAACAAAAAGTCAAAACCCCAACATGAAGACTTGATGACAGATACCATACCACTTATGTTCAATACTTTACTATGAGTCCTCCAGGATGTATGACCTTTCCCCCTATTTACAATTACATGTACATGTTTTTCATCTAACACTGATTTAATGAAATATAGATGGGTCATTCCATCGGGTTGGGTCTTTTCAGCATTTTCATGTGTTTGAATGTTTAGAAGCTATTTACTCAAATTTAAATGGAGTTTTAGAAAAATAAAAGTATGTTTTATTGAAGAGTAATGTACTACATAATAAATAAACATGAAAACAGAAACTTGTTCTTCATATTTTTTTTTTTGTGAGAGTTTTACTACCGATGTCTCAGCGATTTTGAGGGTGAAAGTTGTGACATGAAAACATGTCATTTTCATGAACTTATTTCTGGAAAAAAATTCATCATAATGCAATGTTTCCTACTTAAAACATGTCACCTTTAATACCCCTACTATGTTTGAGAAGCTCAAGTGAAATGTGCAAAAAATCGGAAAGTTATTTCATATTGAAAAAACACAATACCGACGTTACCAACAATGTCCTAGGCACTTTTTTCGTAACGGCGGTAATTCTAGCATTTTACACAAATTTAGCAAGATATTTTCTCAGAAAGTTTCATCTTATTAGGAAGGTACAACCCCTCATGAACATATGTAGAAAGAATGACGATTAAATCGGTCGGTAAATATAAGAAAACAATTAATTTACCGCGAAAATCGGGCGCGATGTCCTTCATAATTTGGTAACGTCGGTGTGAAAATACGGTGTTTGAGATATAAACCAGCCCGCTAGCTTCAGTTTTCGGTGTTAAAATGACCTGCTAGTTATTCACGAATGCGCAGAACATGTTTTTTGCCGGACTGCGACGACCTACCCCTACACTGCAATCACAAACGTGAGAATGTCCATATAACGTCGGGCAGCCATTTTCGCCCGTCAGCGCCCAAATTGGTAGGTAATTTGTTTTTAAAGTTATTTTTATGGCCTGAATTATTATCATAGACAATGAAATTCCATTTCGTTTAAATGTAATTCCGTTTAAAATTGTGTTATTTATAGCTTAAAACGGTGTCAAAACCATCACGTGTGAGTGAATATTTTACTGTTGTCCCACATACTGATATATGTGTTATAACGAAACATGCAAAATCAATGCCGGACTTTTCCCCTTAAAAAGCTAATTTCTTAGACAGAAATTGAATTTTGTTATAAGAATCCCGTAAATAATGATATTCATGATGTTCCTACACCTCAGATTTTTTCTGACAAGTGTTAAATTAATTAATATTATTTATATGGTGCAATTAATTGTCATTGAACAATGATGGCTAAGTCTAACGAAAAACACAAGTTATTGAACATTGTTTCCTTCAAGTTAGGAAGTTCAATCTGAGACCCGAAATACCAACATTTTGGGCAAAAAAGGGGGTTGGGGTTGAGATAGAGAAGAATAGGCTAAAGGGGGAGGGCACCCCCCCCCCCCATTCAATTAATATTGGATACATAATAATGTAATGAGCCCCTTTTTTTTTTTCCTTTTTTTTTTATATAATTTTTTTTTTTTTTAATTAAAAAAAAATAATTAAATAATCATTAATCTGGCTCCCCCTTCCCCCTCATCCAAAGGTTGAAGTGAGGGATAAGGGGTTTTAACACCTTCCCTCCCCCTCCAAATAATGATAAATAACAAATATAATTTTTTAACAAAAATTTATAATTCAACACAAATATTAAACTTAAAAGAAAAATTAAAATGAACAACCAATAATAATACCTACTTCTATTTGGGCATGCAACGAGCCAAAAGTGAGGATGGTGCCTCCCTATCCATCTTGCAATCCTCTGTCTAGTTGTTCCATCCTTAATTCTTACAATTTGATTTTACAACAGATCTAGATAGAAGTACTTGATAATTGCAAACACAACACACGTTTGAAATGAAAAATCACAGAAACAATTTACAGTTTTGTTTTATTTTTATCTCATTTAATATTCTTTACTCATTGGTTTTTATTTATTTCTTTTCATGCATATTTATTAGATTGCTGCATCCATTTCATTCATGGCTCCTCTACCTCCCTTGAGGATTCAGCTCCAGCAGAGAGAGATCAAGAGAGCAGGCAAAATGACCAGTCATCGAAACCTTCCTGGAAAACAAAGATCTTTCCAATCTAATCACTATTTTGAAGAAGATATAAAGTTGATCATTGATATCTATCAATATACCTCTTGTATGAATACTGTTTTTTAATTTACTGATCAAGGGATGAAATATATTTCAGATGATATTTGATGTAGTCTGTCATTTTTCAATGAGTATAAGAGGACAGTTACTCTAATATCATACGGATGTTACTCGGACATGATGTCCGTGTAACATTGGTAACTGGAGGTGTTGAGGTGAATATAGACCATAAATCTTGCAGGTTTCCTTTCAATTGTGTTATCATCTCATTAAATATGTTTCATGCATCAATTAATTAGCACATTTCTTGGAATGTAGCCAAGATTTTCTATGCAAGAGAAAAGATTATCCTTTAGAAAAAAAACATGATCTGAAAATTGCTAGTTCCTCATTTGTTTCATGTTTATAAATTGATATAATGTTGCTGTGTTCAAGTTTTAAGTATTCTAAACTATTGCTCCCATCATCTAAATGTTTTCCACACACAAAAAAGTGGATTACAGACTGTGACAAAGTTTCAGATCAGAAAATAAATGAGCAAGTAAAAAAAAGATGTCCTTGTAACGTTGGTTTTTTGGTGTGTCTGTTTTTTCATTTTAAATGAAAGTGTGCGAAGGAATACACACAATTCCAGTGGAATCTATTGAAGAATGGGTGTAAAAAACAGGATATAACAATATAAAAATTATTCAACAACTCTGAATTTTGAACCTTCATGTCACAATTTATGACCCAACCCGATGGAATGACCCAGATATGAAGACGGACATGTGGTTCTCTATGGATATCATGCTTATTGTCAATGGACATTCGGACATGTTGAGTGATTTATTCTATTTTTCATTTCTTGATTAAATAAATGGATCGATAAAAGACATACCACACAAGGCACAGAAATGCTTTTCTTTTTTATGTGGTTTTATAAGCAAATTTTAACAAACATATTTTTCCTTCAAATTACAAAAGTAAATTGGTTTTCCATTTTAAAAAGTGGATAAAAGACATCCATATACAGTACAATGTACACACAACATATAATATGTGTGTAGCACAGAAAACATTGCTCAGCATCACCCTCATTATATAAAACAAAGAATCTTTCATAAATACCCCCCCCCCCCCCTTCCATCACTCAGTCAGTCAGGAGATGATCCCATCAATGAAATATTACATGTAACACTCCTTTCCTTTGTATCTAGAGCAATCCTAATTGGATGGGTCAAAATATGATCCCCTTATCAGTCTGTCGGAGGTCAGAGGTCAACAGCTCAAGACATATTTCATCCCAGATTACCCTTTATCAAAAGTCTACTTTTCTGGCATCTGTTTCTTCAGTTTCTGATATTGGTGGCAAAGAAAATTCATCATGTATCTAGATTCTCCGTAACAGATAATTAGGGTTTATATATCAATAAATGAAAAATGTGTTTTTATCTTTTCCATTACTTTACTTAAAGCATGAACCTAATAAAGGTAAGCGATATTTAGTTTCTGAGATTGGTGGTAAAGGAAATTCATTATGTATCTAGATTCTCTGTAACAGATAATTGGGGTTTATATTTATATCAATAAATGAAAAATGTGTTTTTTATCTTTTCCATTACTAAGATGAGCGATGTGTCACCAATAAATAATCATGAACAAGAATTTTCCTTTCTTTTCATAGTCCTTTTTTCAGTCATTCCCACGAAATTGAATTGTCATTGTTATATTTGATGTACACAATGTATTTCAGTGAAGAAAAATACACGGGGGTCCGGGCGAAATAGCCCCCGAAATGCCCAAAAGGCGAAATAACCCCAGAAATGCCGAAAAGGCAAAAGAGCCCCCGAAAATCAGGAAAGAGCCCCTGTAAATTTGCAAAGAGTTCAAAGCAAAACAAATTTTAGAGTTTTAATTTCATGCAGGCAAGCTTGAATCGTAGCCCCCGAAAAAAAAAAATTTGAATGCAACAAAATCTTTGATATTCAGGCTACATGTACCGGTACATCAAAAATCAAGAGTAAACCTTTGTGGTAACTTCATGGTACAACCATGGAGATATCTCTTCTTATATCTCCATGGTACAACCAAGAAGTTACAACCCAAACCATTTCCCCCAAAAGCCTCAGGTTGGCGATGAAAGTCACCTGAAGCTGGGTGAAATTGAGATGTTTTGAAAGGAACGATTGGCATCTGTCTGTTGGATAAGAGAGGATCAAGGATGAAATCCAAGTCTGATTGCTTTCAATTGCTACCATCTGTGTCGTGTGGTTGACAAGCTGCACATAGGATTCATTTTAAAGGGGAAATCCACCCTGATATCAAGTTGGTTTTAATATTAATAGAAGCAGAAAAATGAGGGAAACAGGTTGGTGAAATTTTCAAGAAAAACTTATTTAAAATCCTCTTTTTTATGAACTTCTGAAGGTGCAATCGAATATAAATTGGCAACTCTGTGAGGAACCTTGTGAGGCCTTCTTCCATAAGAATTTGCCAAACTTCAAAATCCATTTTCCCTTTAAAAAATTCTGGAAAAAGCAAATTTAAGAGTGGAGAGGAGCTCACAAGATTCGATACAGTCTTGCCAATTTGTGTTTCACTGATGACAACTTAAAAAAAATCATAACTTTCCTTTTTCTGATCAGATATTGCTCAAACTTTCACTGACCTGTCCCTCTCATTTTACTGCCTTGCCTTTATTAAAACCAACTGAATATCAGAGTGGATTTCCCCCTGAAATAAAAAGTCATTAAAGTAGAGTTCTGGCAAAGATGAATTAAAATGATTTGACTTCTGTGAGCTTTTACATACTTTTTAAATCAGCTTGGAAGAATATCATTATTATCATAGAAGAAAACAAAACCCCTGAAAATGGAAATTTTGCTCATCAAATGCATCCATATCAAAAGTAGGATGAGAAATAGCTGTACAGATTGTCTTGTAGCTATATACAGTAAAAGAAAGAGAAGGAAAGAAGAAGAAAAAGAGTGTAGATACATGTAAAGATCTTAACTTACATACATTGAGACCAATGGAAGAACTATTGGAAGACTGAAGTTTATCCTGTTGAAAATTCAATTTTAAAAGAATGATATATCAACTTCATAAAGTTTGGTTTAAACTTATCAGGAATAAAACTTGTGCAATAAATTACAGTGTACAGCATTTTTCGAGTTGAGTAGGTAGTGTGAACAAATCCTCTGAAGGAATATAATGTAGATTTGTATGTCAGAAATGTACAAGATTGAAATATGACATTATCTGAACTTGTTTTAAACAGGGGAAAGATGAATTGTCTGTTCGACTGAAATGATTGAGAAATGCATAATACTGTGCCAGATCATGCAGCAAAACTGGAAATACAGGTTCAAATTTAAAATATCATTTAACATTTGTGTGTGTTATCCATTAGTTCAGAAGACTATTACTTATTTCAGTGATGAGTGTAAATAGACTTAATCAAACTGTTAAACTTTTTAATTAAACTGTACCACTGTTTTAAAAGTTGAAATTCAAAAGAAAAGAAAGTTCTTTGCAATATCTGTGGGCCTACATCTAAGTGAGGTTTCTGAGATCTGACACTTTTACAAATTCAGTTGCTGATTTTAAAATTGCTGACTAAATGGAAAAAGTGAATGACATCCTATCATTGGTCTACAATTGCCATAAATTCTGCTAGTCCTGGCTAGACACACACTTAACTTACTAAAAAAACAATATCATTATGAACCAGAATAAAAAAATTGTATCACAAATGCAACAGAAATATACTAAACATGTATGTATAACCTTTTTAAAAATAAAAGTAACAAAATAACATTACAAAATCACAAACAAATCATCACTTTCATGAATATATGTTTTGTACCCCAAAATATATACTACAGCAAAATCTGTTTCTACTCTCTCTTTCTCTCTTTCCTTCTCATTCACAAGCACAACACAGTTTAAAATACATGTCCCATTAGACAATCAATATTATAAAGTTACACTAGTAGTTACAAATTACTAAAATATATGCGAGAGGAAATAAATAATGTGTAAATTTGTACAAAACTTCTAACCATCGAGCATCACAGGAATCAATAAACAGCTTTGAAACTGTTGTCTGCTCAAAATCTGTGCTACACCGTTAGATTAGGCAAAATCGATTTTTCTCCCCGTTTTGTTCACCAAGTCGAGGATTTCCTTCGCTGAAATCTGCCAAAGAATTCCCATTCCAAAATCACAAGCAGTTGGTTTGAAAAGAATCAATGAATTGTAAATAATGCCAACGGCATTGAATAAAGCACCCCCGCTAACAGAAGAACACGTAACTCCACACAACGGCATCAACTAGCGGGCTACAGCGGGGGAACACGCGGTTACGAACGCGCTGGTCGCGGAACACAATCCCCCACAAGACCAAGGGAAATTCGTGATTAAACGATGAAATTATGGTTGAAATTCATTCAAACTTACCAGTTACGATAAAGAAGGAGACCAGGAATGCCTCGTAAACCCTCATAATGGTATTAGCAACATATTTCAGTCCAAAAGTCACTGGCAAAAGTGATATGTTTGATCGTTTCACCGTTATGTTCCAGCAGTGCTCGCACAGTCATAGCGAAATCTTGTTTGAGCTTTTGAAGTTTACAAACTTCGGGATACGGGATTCGCGATCGCGTGACGTGCGTTCATACACACATTCGGTTTGTGTGTGGTGGAGACTCTTGAATGGTTTACGAAACAGGTGTGTGCACTTTTACGATGAGCGCTTTGTATCAAATTATTCAAAGATACTTTTTGAGGCATGATTATCAAAAATCTGCATTTATATATCATCTTTATTCAAAATAATGAACACAGAATAACACTTATATAATGGTGAATGCAATTTGATAATGGAATATTCTGACTAATAATTATTCGAATCAAATTATTTTTATACCGTGTTTTTTTTTTTTTTAGCTTTGTGTTTTGCATTTAATAGTGCATTTTATTTTTTTAATTTATGATTTATGCATGATGACGCCCGTGATTCATTAATCTACGAAAATCTATCTTTTTTCCACCTATAATACGCAATCCTTTTTGTTCTCTCTCTCTCTCTCTTTCTCTCTCTCTCTCTCTCTCTCTCTCTTTCCTTCTCTTTCACACCCACCCACCACACAAACACACTAACACACTCTCTAGTTCTATCTTTTTTCCCTCTTAGATCAACTTTTCCATCTCTTTCTCATTTCATTTGTAATATCTCCTCTCTTTCAATCCTTTTTCTAAGTTCTCTTCTCCTTCCATTTCATTTCATGCTCTCTCTCTCTCTCTCTCTCTCTCTCTCTCTCTCTTTCACACACACACCCACACACACACACACACACACACTCTCTCTCTCTCTCTCTCTCTCTCTCAGGCTCTCTCTGGCTCTCTCAGGCTCTCTCTCAGACGATCTCTATTTCTATTTTTATTTTTCTCTAATAGATCAACATTTCTATCTATATTTCCATCTCTTTCTTACTTCGGTTTTTTTTTATACCCCTCTCTCTCTCTCTCTCTCTCTCTCTCTCTCTTTCCTGCTCTTCCTCTCTCTTTCTCTTTATCTCTATCTACATTTATATCTTTCTTTTTCTCTTAGATCAACCTTTTCTATTTATATTTCCATCTCTTTCTCACTTAATGTTTTTAACATCTCTCTCT